GAGGAGACCGAGCGGGCGTCCTGGGGGACTGCCAGGTGCTGAGGGCGAGGCTGGGGGACATTCAGGGCATTGCGCCCAGGCCTTGGGCGCTGTCGGGGACTCGGGGCTTCCTTCGGGGCTTCCCTCGGGGTTTCGACCACTTGGCTTGGGCTTTCACGGGTTTCCCATCGCCATCCAGCCTCGCAGCCGGCAGGATTGAAAAACGGCTTCAGCCAAATGCTGCCTTCCCTCTAGGGAGGGGGGCTAAGCTCGTCCCCCGAGGGGACTCGCGGGGGATGCCCGGCCCTCGGGGGGTGGAAGGAGCAGAAGTTGAAGGGGGCGGTGAGAGTGGAGAGCTCCCTCCTTTGACCATCAAATGCCTCCTTTAGTGCTTCCATCTGCGCCGAGTGGGCTTGGCTGCGCTGACCACGCGGGAGGCGAGCTGGACGACGCTCGGCGGGCCCTGACCGTGCCGCCTTCATGTGGGTGCTGACCCGGACCCACGAGGGAACCGGCATGGGGCTCAGCCTCGCCTCCCTCCCTCCCCGCCTCCCAGGCGCCGGTGGCGATGTGGAGTCGTGAGGGGGTCCGGGGCTGCCCCGGGTTCTCCAGGACTCCGCCAGGCACCCGCGCGTCCCTCTGCGCCCGGGGCAGGAGAGACTGACGCGGGGCTCGAGGCGGGCGGACCACGAGCAGAGCCGCAGCCCCGGCCTCGCCATGGGGCATAACGGCAGCTGGGTCTCCCGAAACGCCAGCGAGCCGCGCAACGCGTCGGGCGCCGAGGCGGCGGGCGCCAACCGCAGCGCACACGGGGAGTTCGGCGAGGCGCAGCTGTACCGCCAGTTCACCACCACCGTGCAGGTCGTCATCTTCATCGGCTCGCTGCTAGGTAAGCCGTCCGCGCGGGCGCCGCCTGCGGAGTCAGCCCGAGGGCACGGGCGCCCATCTCTTCCCCAGGTAGCAAAGTGCAGATAGTTGAAGGAGGAGGTTTAAGAATGTCAGGGTAAGTGCGGGGAAGTTAAGTAGGGATCCAGCCCCACTCCTCAAGCAGAAGAGTTCTCCTTAGGGCTTTTTCCGGCCCGAGGACCGTGCCTAGCCCAGGCGGAGGTCAGCCTCCCCAGGCTGCCCTTGCGGAACGTTTGGGACTGGGCGCGGGGTTGTGCCCATCATTTCTTACATTTCGGGTGCCAGATAGCGAGGAGCAGCTTCTGTTCTGCTGCTGCTGACGGATGTGTTTTCCTCTCTCGTCTTCCCTATATGTAAAACTATTTTGCGGGTGTTTTATGGCTTGCTTCTGCGGAACATCGACCTGCTGGTAAACAACCTTGTGGAGTGAAACTTTGTCGCCTTCAGCTATTTTTAAACACCAAAACAAAACAATTCAGTCTATTTCTCTACCTGTGTTTTGTTTGAAGTACAGAATAAAGGCAGGATGAAAAACATTAAACACCCACACAACAGATTTAGGTGTCCTCGTTGGGAGAAGAAAAGATCATTGAATTGGAGCCGCTAGTGAAAAACGTTTATCCACGAGTGTGAGAACTACCAGTACTTCAAGGAGCTACTCTTTAAGTGATAAATGATACAATCAGTATTCATTTTTGTTGAGATTTGTTGAAGGTGTGGTAAATATGTGACTTCCCTTCAAATGCAAATTCTCTGATGTGGCATTTATACCGATGTAAAAAGATTGTGATTATATGTGATTTTATGGCCTAGAGCAGTCTTAAAGTTTCAGTGTGGGAATAGATTACTTTTTTTTTTTTTTTGTAGATTCCTATGAATTTCCATGGAAACTAAGATAACTGATATAAAAAAGACAACGGATGAATTTTAAGCGTTTGAAATTTCCTTTCATAATTTCTCGATGATTGTCATCATTCTGTACCATTCTATCATGATATTTATCTTCCACTTTTTGTTGTAAGTGCATTTTCAGGAGAAGGTATCAATGTAGCTATGTCTAGGTGAGTGTGTGTGTGTGTGTGTGTGTGTTAAGATGTGTTCTTATGAATGGAATGTTAAATGTACATTAACAAAGAAAAGCTTGTGTTCGAAATACTTTCAATATTCATTTAACAAATAACTGACGGAATATTGAGTACCTACTAGGTACCAGGCACGATGCACTGTAGATTATCGGGAGTTAAATTCTAGTATTGTCATATTTACTTAAAGTGTAGATTATTGGGAAGGCTGTAGAAGTGGCTGCAGTTTGTGTGTGTGTGTGTGTGTGTGTGTGTGTAGTTGGTTTTGTTTTCCCCATTGGTAACTTTAACCCTGAAGATGGTGTTGTGAGAAAATTTCTCATCATTTAACTCTAAAATTTGAGTACTATTTAAATAGAAGGCAGAACATGTATATAAAGGACAGGGCAAATAGTGCACATTTAACAAATGTTCTGCCCTGGCCAGTTTGGCTCAGCGGTTAAAGCGTCGGCCTGCGGTCCGGAGAGACCCGGGTTCGGTTCCCGCTAAGGGCACGTAATTTGGTTGCAGTTTGTCCCCGGCCCTGGTTGGTCGTGCGGGTGGCAGCCACTCGATGTGTTCCTTCACGTCGATGTTTCTCTCTCGCCCTTCCTCTCTCTCCCTCCCACTCTGTCTGTACAAAAAATGGAAAAATATCCTCGGGTGAGGATAAAAAAAAAAACAAAACAAAACAAAAAACAAATGTTCTGCTTCCCTTGCTTGTACTTCTGTTCTTGTAACTTGCATTGGAATTCCTAGGTAAATCTGCCCTTATTTCAACTCTTTTTTACATAGCACTTCAACCGATATGCAAAAGCTGCTTTTGTGGATGCTCCAAATAGGAGACTGATTTTCCCCTTGATCTTGGTTATGCCTGACTTGGCGCAAGGGACATATTTGCCCCCCTCCACATTACTTGGGCTCTCCCAAGAGAATTCCATTTGTTCCTTTTTATTTTCAGAAAAAGTATAAATATAGTTAAATGTTTAGAAATCAAAAGTCAGAGAACTTGTGCAAAAGTGAAGTTGAATAACATTGCCCTGTGTACTTGTTACTTACTGATATTCCTGATTCATTGTTCTCAGAGGATTTGACCCATACAAACATATCTATGTAAGTGTAAGCTTCCAGTTGAAGCTCGGAGCTTAAGTTCCAAAGTCTTGTGCAGTCAGTTGCAAGGCAAGTAAACTTGGGAAGCATGATTTTTATGAAGCCCAAAACACAGGGAAAAAGCACAGATTAGTAATAAAAAGATTTATCATGGAAGAATCTATAAGGATGAAAAGTAAATGGAGGATAAAATAGTATCTAGAATAGCATGTGACTCTAATTTAATCTACTTGTTTTCCCTGTCCAGGAACATAGATGAATCAGTCCTCCCCCCTCCCCCCCTTTAAATAAATTCAAACATACTTCCTTTATTCTGTAGAATTTTTTTCTTATCCTCACCCGAGGACATTTTTCCATTTTTTTGTTCAGGTATAGTGGGAGGGAGAGAGAGGAACAGATAGAGAGAAACGTCAACATGAAAGGGACACATCGAGTGGCTACCACCCGCACGACCAACCAGGGCCGGGGACAAACTGCAACTGAGGTAAATGCCCTTAGCGGGAACCGAACCCGGGTCTCTCTGGACCGCAGGCTGATGCTCTAACCGCTGAGCAAAACCGGCCAGGGCTAGTCTGTAGAATTTTTTATTGGGATTTCCAGAGGCCCTGTTGTTTGAAAATAATTCTGTGCAATTATTTGAGGGTGAGAATTTCCCCTCATTTCCCTCATAGTTCTTCTGGCTGGTCTAGTGATATTAACATGCGACAGATTAACAGGAGTAAATAACCAAATTTATTACATATGTACATACAGGAGTCCTGTAAGAATATGGGACCTGAGGACAGATGGGCAGTTGGGGCTTATGTGCTGCTTGACCTAAAGAGAAAGTGGTTTGGACTTCCAAGGAAGGAAGGCAATTCACAGGTAGATGAGAAGGAGCAAACATTTGGTAAACAAATTCTTGCTGGGCCACTCAGAAACAATGGGACTCTGAGGGGATTCTAACAGACTCTTAGGTCCTTCCCGCTCTGCCACATTCAGTTTATTTTTGCTAAGGTGATCTCCCTTCCTGTAGCAGGTTTTTAAAATCTGAATTCCATTAGACAGATAAAGAAGGGAGTCAAAAAAAGACTCAGTTCTTCTGAGTCTTTTGTTTCTTAAAAATACTAGTTTAGCCCTGGCCGGTTTGGCTCAGCGGTTAGAGTGTCCACTGCCGACCAGAGTCCTGGGTTCAGTTCAGCTAAGGGCAAGTACCTCTGTTGCAGTTTGGCCCTGCCCCGGTTGGGGTCCTGTGGGTGGCAGCCAGTTGATGTGCCTCTCTAACATTGCTGTTTCTCTCTCTCTCTTCTTCCCTCTCTCCCTCCTGCTCTATCTGAAGATAAATGCAAAAGTGTCCTCCGGTGAGGATTAAAAAAAAAAAACCAGTTTAAAATAATCATTATCCCCTCAAAATGCATATTTTGGGGTGACAAACTGTTTCTTTGTAGTAATATCTTATACCTCTTTTCGAAAACCATTTTAGTACCCAGTATTAGGAAAAGCCCCCAACAGTTTGGAATAACTATAATATTCCAATCATAAGGAACATTAATTGCTGTGTATTTTAGAACTCAAGAATTGTATGTAATATTATTCAAATAATATTTCTCCTCAATACCCTGAACCCTAGGCAACCACTCATCTACTTTCTGTCTCAATGGATTTGCCTGTTCTGGATATTTCACATGTATAAATATGTGGTTGTTGGCTTCTTTCACTTAACATAATGTTTTCAGGGTTCATCCATGTTATAGCATATCTTTCATTTGGGTTGCTTCCACTTTTTAGCTATGAACATGTGTGTAGTTTTTGTGTAGACATAATGTTTTCAGTTCTCTTGGGTATATAGCAATAGTGAAATGTCTGGATCATACGGTAACTTTAAGCTTATCCTTTTTAGGAATTGCCAGATTGCTTTCCAAAGTGGCTGTATCATTTTACTTTCTTACCAGCTTTGTATGAGGGTTCTAATTTCTCAACATCCTTGTCAACATTTATTGTTGTCTTTTTTATCATAGCCATTCTAGTAAGTGTTATGTGGTATCTCACTGTGGTTTTGATTTGCATTTTCCTAATGACTAATGAGGTTGAACATCTTTTCATGCCCTTATTGGCTATTACTTTCTTCTTTGGGGAAATACCTGTTCAGATCCTTTACCCATTTTTATTTTATTTTATTTATTTATTTTTTATTGATTTTATAGAGAGAGGAAAGGAGAGGGAGAGAGAGAGAAACATCGATGAGCAAGAACACCAACTGGCCGCCTCCTGCATGCCCCCCACTGGAGATTGGGGCCACAACCTAGGCATGTGCCCTGACTGGGAATTGAACCAACAACTTCTTGGTGCATGGGTTGACGCTCAATCACTGAGCCACACTGGCTGGGCAGATCCTTTACCCATTTTTAAATGGGATTATTTGCCCTTTTGTCACTGAGTTCAAAGTTCCTTGTATGTTCTGAATACTAGACATTTATCAAATATATGATTTGCAAATATTTTCTTTCATTCTATGGGTTGTCTTTATGCATATTGGTGTCCTTTAAAGCACAAAAGTTTTAAATTTTGATGAAGTCTAGTTTTTCTAAACGCTTTTGTTGTTGCTTGTGACTATGGTGTCATTTCTAAGGAACTATTGCCTACTATTATATTTTCTTCTAAGAGATGTATAGTTTTAGCTCTTACATTTAGGTCTTTGATCCATTTATGTTAATTTTTGTATATGGTGTAAACTAGAGGTCCAAATTCATTAAAAAGAATTTTTTTTTCCTTTATTGATATTAGAGAGAGAGGAAGTGAGAGGGAGAGATAGAGAGAAACATTGATGAGAGAGAACATCAATTGGCTGCCTCCTGCATGCCTGCCACTGGGGATCAGGCCCACAACCTGAGTACGTGTCCTGACTGGGAATCGAACTGGTGACCTCTTGGTGTATGGGTTAATGCTCAACCACTGAGCCACACCAGCCGGACCAAATTCATTTTTTTAATATCTCCAGGTGTCCCAGAATTATTTGTTGAAAAGACTTCCTCCACTGAATTATCTTGGTACTCTTATTAATCCTGGGAAAACTCTATTTTTTTGTTAATCCTCACCTGAGAATATTTTCTATTGATTTTCAGATGGGGGGGGGGAGAGAGAGATCAGCATGAGAGAGACCAGGGCTAGGGATTGAACCTGCAACCCAGGTATGTGTCCTTGACTGGTAGTTGAACCCAAGACCCTTCAGTCTGTGTGCAACGCTCTAACTGCTGAGCCAAACCAGCTAGGGTGATCCTGTGAAAATTCTTGATGCCATTGTCCCATTGCAGGATTTTCGTCTTTGTTAGGGCTCATTTATACCTGCTGGGGTGTTAATAAATGAACTGGCTGCATCATAAATAAACGACATTGCCCTAGCCAGTGTGGCTCACAGTTGTTAGCGTGTCAGTCCAAGCACCGGAAGGTCTTGGGTTCAATTCCTGATTAAATGGCATGTATCTGGGTTGCAGGTTCAATCCCTGGCCCAGATCCCTAGTCCCCGTTGGGGTATGTGCAGGAGGCAACCAATTGATGTGTCTCTCTCACATCAGTGCCCCCCCCACCCCACCCCCGCTTTTTCTTTCTCTTCCTTCCTCTCTCGTCCTCTCCCTCCCTCCCACTCTATCTAAAAATTAATGGAAAAATATCCTGGGATGAGGATAAATAACAATAAATATAATAAACAAACAACAATAAGTTGTTTCTAACAGGAACTGCTGTCATCTAAAATAACTAACTTCAGAAATATTTAAAACAATTTCACCTTTCCAAATATACCAATAGCAATGAGCTCACTGGAGCAGGAAGACATTTAAAGTTTGGTCCATTGTTTTGTTTTTCTTTTACCTGGTTTTGTTTTGTTCTGGACTTTAGTTCTACAAGAAATATATATGTCCTTTATTGGATAGGATTTTGGAGAACGGGAAGAAATTTGTCTCAAAACAGAAACAAACTGACATGGCTCTGTTTTTCTCTGGGGCATCCAAGTCTCTGTAAGTATCTCTTCTGTGGCGTTTGCCAGAGTGTCTCTACATGCCATTTTCTGAATAAGCCATTTAGATTGACTAGTGACTGGAAGCTGTTGTAAAAGCTGTTTTATTGTCAAGAAGCTTTCACATTGGCTGGGTGAAAAATTGTTATTAGTCATACAGCACAAAAACTTATAAGAGTTTTTGGCTAGACTGAGGTATGAGTGACTCGGCAAAATTTAGAAGTAAGGATTTACCCTGGGTAAAACTAAACAGTAAAAAAACTGTCTTTAGAAAATCAACCCCCATTTTCAGAGTTTTAACTTTTTTGTCTTCATTCCATCTCTTTTCAGATATCTCGTTTTCTTGTCCCTTTGCATGCCCAATGACCTTATTTTGAGTTGCTTACTTGTCTTCTGTCTTCTCAACATAATAGTATCTATATTCCATTCCCTCATGGTGGCATGTTAATAAACAAACCACTTTTGATGTAGATGTTAACATGTTAGTACATTAATATATTGATCTTTAAAGGTATTTTTTAAAAAGTTCACTATCTTAAGCAAAAAGTTTCATATTTCAAATATCTGACAGATGATGGGGAGAAATGGGTGGGGTGGATCTTTTAGGAACTTGTAGTTACATCATATAGGCAAGCCTATTTATTGCATGTAAGACATTTAGAAAAATTGAGGAAAGGTACACACTGGTACATAAAGGAAAAGGGGGGATCAGACACCAGTATCTTGTTCTTTCTGTATGGTTTTAATTCCCTCTTTTATTTCATAATTTAAAATATACTATTTCAGATTGTTACCTTGGGATGCTTATTGTGTCTGCTGACTCTTATTGTGGATCATTTCCTTGTGTACTTCTGAGTTTTTGATTGTGAGTCTATCTCCTTTTTTTTTTTTTTTGAAGGCTTCTGTGAGATCTTGGCTGCAGACGTGGCCTCTAGAACAGTTTCACTTAAAAAAAAAACTTTTCTTTATTGATTTTAGAGACAGGGAGGGAGAGGGAGAGCGAGAGTGAGATAGAAGCATTGATGAGAGAGAACATTGATTGGCCTCCTCCTGCATGCCCCCCACTGGGGATCAGGCCCATAACCTGGGAATCGAACCGGCAACCTCCTGGTGCATGGGTCAACTCTCAACCACAGCCACACCAGCCGGGCTAGAACAGTTTCACATTTGCTTCTGCTAAGTGTCATAGGATCATCAATAAGTAGCCCAAGACCTCAACCACAGGAAAAGACATATTTCATTGTCATCTCTCTGAGGATACAGTTCTTTGTTTTTGTTCTGTTTTAACCTATTTTATTGAGGTGGCTACCGTTTCACAATTCTGACTCTATGCAGGAACTTCTATTCCAACTCCCTGCTTCTGGTGAGTCCAAGGTCAGTTCAATCCTTGCGTGGGTGTTGAAACCCAAAGTTAGCTGTGAGGGCCTATTTCCTGGTCTGAAAATCACCTCTCAGTGTAAGCACTCTGGTCTCTGTTTACGGCAACTGGGAATTTTTATTTTTTGTAAGCTCAGCTAGAATTTAAAGATGTCTTCTGTTTTATCCAGCACGTTCAGGTGTTCGTAGCGGTGTTTTATGTTGCCAGAATTGGAAGGTGGAGAGTAAGCAGGACACACTAAGGGCAGAGGTGGGATGATTGCTAGACTTGTTTCTAGGAAATTTGTAACCAAAAGTTAGGTCATTTTAAAGTGAGGTGGAGGCATCTGGTCAGAGTAAGACACCTTGGAAGATTAAGGAAAATAAGTTATAGAAGTGGAATGAAGCTGAAGAGAACTCAAGAATGTTGATTTCCAATGACAGTCACTTCATTTAGGGAGACATTACCTGTGGGCACTTTAGGAAATTCACAGAGGGTCTTTAATGAAAAGGACAAGGAGAGTTTTGCTAATGGGGGTTGGATGCTTCCTGTGCAGTGTTAGGTACCCTTGACTTACCTGCCAACATGGTTACTACCAATCAAGAATACTGTTTTAGCCTTACATTTATGCTGGGGTTTATAGTTTATAACATATACCACATTATTCGATCATAATAACATTATGAAATAAGATAGGGACATTTTCTGTTATTATTATTATTATTATTATTATTATTATTTTGTTAATCCTCACCCGAGGATATTTTTGCATCGATTTTTAGATAGGGTGGAAGGGAGAGAGAGAGAAGAGAGAGAGAGAGACATTGATGTGAGAGACATTGACATCAATTGGTTGCCTCCTGCACAACCTGGACCAGGTCCGGGGATCAACCTGCAATCCAGGTACGTACATGCTCTTCACTGGGAATTGAACCCTTGGCCCTTCCGTTCGAGGGGCAGCACTCTAACCGCTGAGCCGAACTGACCAGGGCTGTTTTTATTTTTTTAGCACACCTCTTACCCCCTAACAGTGCTTGCTCTGTTCCAACAACAAGTGCACATTCACTGGTGAGCCTCCTAGTATTCATCAGGATTCTTGGTTGTAAACAACAGAGCCTATTGTCAAAAGAAGACACAGCTACAAAAGCATTTAGTAAAAACACAAACAAAAAATTTTACCTGCTGAGATGGATTGGAAAGGAGTTCAAGCTTTAGAAGTATTGGCTTGCCAAATGAAATATAAAACAAGCGTTGAAAAGAAAGCCGCTACAAGATTACCAAGTTTACAGTTATTATGTTTATTTTGGGAGGGAAAGCATTTATTTCACATTAGTGTTATAACCTCAAAGATTGTGTCATATCTTTAGATATCAGCATTGCAAATGTCAATAAAGTTATAAAACAATACAGTTCTTATTAGGATTTAGTAACTTAAGGAAAGGCTCAAGATTTCTTTTATTGTGAGGACTAGAACTAGATAGCATAGTCCTGGGCCTTTTAAATGTATGTCTTTATTTTGGGGGAAGAAAGGGAATCAGGGACCAAGTGTTGTTTTTTCTTTTCTCCTGACTATGGGACACAGTTGTCCATCTCTTTCCGTAATGAAGCAGGGTAAGGTGTTAATTTTACTTTTATATCAAACTAGCCAGTTTATGAAGAAAGAAATTTAGTACAGGGTATCAGGTTGCTTTCAGAATTTATGGAAGAGCCTGGATGTTACAGAGCTAGGGACACAGTCAAGAAATATGTGCAGTCATGCCCCTGGTTCTAGCAGAAATCATGAAGCTGCTGTCATGTGCCACCAGTGAAGTGAGGGAGTAGACTCTAGAACCCTAGGACACAGCTGGCCCAGAAGAAGCAAAGGCATCTGTCATCTCCCTGCACTTACAAGAAAACCTGATGATTGCACCCAGCCAGCACCTCACATTAATCATGTCTACTTTCCTAGGGAACAGCTGCTGGGCAGAACCTAGATCATGAGCCTGTATCCTAACTGGAAGGCTGTGTGATAAGTAGTATTTTTAGCTTTCCAGCCTATGTATCAGAGGGTAGCAGATGGTTGAAAGATTTTGGAATGAATATTTAGTGAATCAAACTGTAGTCTACCTCACAACTGCCTTATATGACTGCCCCTCACAGTACTCTGTATGGCCCCACTCCCACCCCAGGAGACAGGGGTAGGTACATGATCCAGACCTTGCTGGTTACAGGATTCTTTTTCCTGTCCTCAGTGATAAGTCCAGGAATGGTCGTAGGATCCAAGCTTGGTCAAAGTCCTTGACATAGAGATGCTGGTAGGGAAGCCCTTTTTTCCCAAATGGGCTGCTAAGCGGGGATAAAGGAAGGCAAGAGCTGAATGCTTAGGAGAGAATTAAGGCAGAGAGAGAAGCAGAGGTGAGAGTGAGAGAAAGCAGAAGGGGGGGGGGAGGGGAGAGAGTGAGGGAGAGAAACCATCTCGATGATACTGTTTGAGAGGTCCGGAGCCTCTATTTCCCAAGTAGGTGAGCCAAAAACTCCACATATCCCTTTTTCTTGAACTTGTGTGAGTTGCGTTCCTGTCATGCACAACAGAAATATCCTGACTGATAATATATAGTATTTATCGTATCCTCCATTTAGATGAACAAGTTAGAGCAAGTCATTACCCCACTCCCACAGCCAGGCAAGGCCTGATGCAGTGAAGTCTGATGCCCAGGAATGAAGAGCAGCTGAAACCCAGAGCCACGAGAATTGAGCAGAAGCTAGAGACAGGCTGGTAGCTGGAGAGGTGCTCATAGACACAGAGGAGGACTGTAAGTCTGGCTGTGCAAAAGGTCAGGAGTGGGAGATCATACTCAGGCCCAAGTTGTATGCAAACTTCATGCTCATTTCTAGAAATCTCTTAAGCCTTATACAAATCAAGATATTGGCTGTTTAATTAATTGTTCTACTTAATTCTCCTCAGGTATTTCATTCCATCAGTCAGTCCTTACTGGGCACCAACTATTGGCCAGGCCCTGTTTTAGGTGTTGGGGACACAGCATTGCATGAGACAGTCTCCGTCCCCATGGCTCTGCGTTCTGATGGTGAAGGACAGAACATCAAGCAACACGGTAACAGCTGGGATTATGACAGCTACAGAGGAAATAACCAGGAAGCTGTGATGGACATGGAGGGCAGTACTTTAGATAGGCTGTCTTGGAGAAAGGAATGGAAGGGAGGCTGACCACCATAGGGTTGTCAAAGCCCCGTGTAGAGACAGAGCCCAGAGGAGGGTGCTGGATCAGGAAACACTGGCCACTCTCCTGAATCAGCATGTGGCCTCTGATACTTTTTGTAAGTAAAAAACATCCTTTTAAAAAATGTTAAGAGTTATTTTCACATAAATGTAGTTGTTCAAGGTTAATTAACATGAAAACTTAATAACAGAAGAAATTGAGCTGTGTTAGAAAAGGGAAATGCTGCCAGTGTTAGATGTAGCTTCACAGGGGATGATGTTCTTAACAGTCTTTGGGTCATAAGCTGGTGTCCACTTTCCTGAGGGTTTATAAGAGCTTATGGAGAGGTCAGCAGGTAAGATGGTGGATGAGTCCTGGGAAACACAGTCCTCACCACAGCTGTGTGGTGTGGATGAAGTCTGGACATCTGGAGGTATATGGTTGGGGAATAAGCTGCTTGCTCATTATTTTCTGCTTCAAATTTCATCATGGTCAGTGTCCATCTCTCAGGATGGTCTAAGCAGAAGAACACTTCTGGGAGTGTGTGGGGGTAGATGTGTATCCTCAGCTGATGCAAACCCAGGGCATAGAGGAGAGAGCAGGAGTTTTGTCAGTGCAAGGATCAGGCATTCAAGTACGGGAAGAACCTGGACCAGATTCAATGTGGGCATTGTCAAGTTAAACAGACAGTGCAAAGGCACAGAGCAAGTGGTAAAAGGTGGAGAGGAGCAAAGCAGAGGTATCTCTCACAGCTTTCAAATCACCTTTCGGTTTTTTTAAAGTTCAATACCACTAAAGGCCATTGTTACTGTTCTCTCTGCCCTAATATTCTTCTCTAATTGCTCCCTGTGGCTGGCTTGTGTTCATCCTTATTTTATTTATTTATTTTTATCCTCATCCAAGGACATCTTTCCATCTTTTGTTCAGATAGAGTGGGAGGGAGAGAGAGAGAAACGTCATCGTGAAAGGGACACATCGAGTGGCTACCACCCGTATGACCAACCAGGGCCGGGAACAAACTGCAACCGAGATACATGCCCTTAGCGGGAACCGAACCCGGGTCTCTCAGGACTGCAGGCTGACGCTCTAACCGCTGAGCCAAACCGGCCAGGGCGTGTTCATCCTTTAAATTGCAGCTCAGATGTCACTGTCTCCAAGCAACTTATCTAAAGTAGTCTCCCTCCTCCTCTATCACATCTTCCTGGTATCTTCCTCTACAGCCATTATAATCCCAGCTGTTACCGTGTTGCTTGGTGTTCTGTCCTTCTCCATCAGAATGCAGAGCCATGGGGATAGAGACTGTGTCATGCAGTGCTGTGTCCCCAACACCTAGAACAGTGCCTGGCCAATGGTTGGTGCCCAGTAAGGATTGATTGATGGAATGAAATACTTTGGGGGAATTAAATAGAACAATTAATTAAACAGCCAGTATCTTGATTTGTATAAGGCTTAAGAGCTTTCTGGAAATGAACATGCATTTTGACTATAGCCAGGATTCAGACACCATCATAGCCAGTAGCCTAGAGCATTGTTGACAAAAGCCAGATATCTGGAGGGACAGCTGGTCTCTTGATAGGAGATCCATAAGTACAGAAATTATAGCCTGATTTAAATTAGAGTAAGCTTATGAAATAAGACAGGCTACATTTGGAATGCAGTAGTATAGTGTGTATGGGGATGTCACTGTTACTTTTAGAGGCTTTTGGATGCTAGGCAAAGTCAAAATTATTGCTAGAAGCAGCCTGGGGGCATGGCCCTGTCTGTGGGGTAGTCGCTGAGAGGCAGTGCTGTCATCAGGGAGCTCCAGGGAACATTTGACTGCCTATCCCGAGACAGGTGGATCCTAGATGTGTGAGATCAGAGTGTTGCCTTTGAGTTTCTGTCAACTATTAAGGAACCACTTCTTCTACCTGTCTACTCTGGAAGCTCGGTGGTGGAAATGGGGATGTTGAATGAGGTCTGAAAACAACAAACACAGTATTTTTATTCTAACCAAGTGTTATGGGCTGAATTGTGCCCCCCACCCAAAAAGATATGTAAAAGTCCTACCGTAGTACTTCAGAATATGACCTTATTGGGAAATAGAGTTATTGCAGATAAAATTGCTTAAGATGAGGTGATACTGGTGCAGGGTATGTCCTTAATGACTGGTATCCTTGTAAGATCACCACGTGAAGATGGAGACGCACAGGGAGAACACTATGTGATTAGGGCAGAGGTTGGAGTTATGCAGCTGTAAGCCAAGGAACACCAAAGATTGCTGGTAAACCACCAAAAGCTCAGAAGAGGCAAGGAAGGATTCCCCTACATGTTTCAGAGGAAGCATGGCCCTTCAGTATCTTGATTTCAGACTTCTAGCTTTCATAACTATGAGACAATAAATTTCTGTTACGTTAAGCACCCAGTTTATGGTACTTTGTTATGGTAAACGAATATTCCAATAAATATTAGGTTGAAAAATCCCGATTTTTGCACAACTGAGTTCAGTAGATTTTACAAGATTCACAACATCTTCAACTGATAGAATGTGAATCTGTGTAATAAAGGCTAGTCATCACTTGTTCCATCCACTGGTACACACACAGCTTTCAGCACCTTTTAAAAAAAATTACTCTTTATTTTGTGATAGTTATAGATTCAAATGCTATTATAAGAAAGAGTACAGAGACATGCTGTGTACTCTTTATCCAGTTTCTCCTAATAGTACACATGTGGTACCTAGTACGTATAGGGGGTACAGTGTCATAACCAGGATACTGACATTGACACAGTCAAGATACAGAACATTTTCATCATCGCAAGGAGTCCTCTTGTTGCCCTTATATAACCACATCTACCTTCCTCTCACATCCACACCCTTCTTAACTTTTGGCAACCACGAATGTCATCTCTATTTCAATAATTTTGTCATTTCACAGAGCATTATATAAATGGAATAACATAGTGGGTAGCCTTTTGGGATTATTTTTTTGATTTAGTATAATTCCCTGGAGATTCATACAAATTGTTGCATATTTCCATGTATGTTCCTTTTTTTTTTTAATCCTCCCCCGAGGATATTTTTTCATTTTTCTTCAGAAAGAGTGGGAGAGAAGGAGAGAGAAAAACATTGATGTGAGAGAAACATATCGACTGGTTACCTCTTGCTTGATCCTGACCAGGGTTGAGGATGAACTGCAGCTGAGGCACGTGCCCTTGACCAGAATCGAACCTGAGACTCATTGGTCTGCAGGCTGACACTCTAACTACTGAGCCAAACCGGCCATAGCCCACGTTTGTTCCTTTTTATTTATTTTTTTCTTCTTTTTTTTTTATTCTCACCCGAGGACATTTTTCCATTTTTTGTTCAGATAGAGTGGGAAGGAGAGAGAGGAAGAGAGAGAGAGAGAGAGAGAAACATCCATGTGAAAGGGACACATCGAGTGGCAGCCACCCACACGACCCAACCAAGGGCCAGGGACAAACTGCAACGAAAGTACATGCCCTTAGCGGGAACCGAACCTGGGTCTCTCTGGGCTGCAGACTGACGCTCTAACCGCTGAGCCAAACTGGCCAGGGCAGTTCCTTTTTATTTTAATTTCATTTATATGACCTTCTTGAATGAAAGCATGGGTCACTCCACAACTTATCTGGTTATTCTTCAGTCATAAAACACTCTCAATTTAATATACTAGTTACCCTTTATCTGAAGTTTCAATTTGCATGGTTCAGTTACCCTTGGTCAACTGTTATCCAAAAATACAAAATGTGCCCTGGACCTGGCCCTTGTGGCTCACTTGGTTGAGTGTTGTCCCATACACTAAAAAGTCGCAGGTTCGATTCTCAGTTGGGGCATCTACTTGGGTTTTGGGCTCGATCTGCCCCCATAGGGGGCATGCAGGAGGCAGCCCATCCATGTCTCACATTGATGTTTCTCTCTCTCCTCTTCCCTTCCTCACTCTCTCTAAAAAAATTAAAAATCTTTAAAAATATACAAAATGGAAAAATTACAGAAATAATTCATAATTTTAAAAAATTTATGATTTTTTTCTTTACTGATTTTTTTTTTTTTTATAGAGAGAGGAAGGGAGAGGGAGAGAGAGATAGAAACATCAATGAGAGAGAACATCAACTGGCCACCTCCTGCATGCCCCCCACTGGGGATCGGGCCCACAACCTGGGCATGTGCTCTGGGAATTAAACTGGTGACCTCTTGTTGCATGGCTTGACACTCAACCATTGAGCCACACCAGCTGGGCAACAATTCATAAAAATATGCACTATTCTGAGGATCGTGATGAAATCTCTAGTCCCCCTGTGCCCTGCTGGGACTCAACTCATCCCTTTGTCCAGCATCTCCATGCTGTATGTGGTCCCCACTGGTACCCACTCAGTAGCCCTCTCAGTTATGAGATGGACTGTCTTAGTATTACAGTGCTTGTGCTCAGGTGACCCTTTTTTACTTAATGCCACATTTATATAGCTTTTACTACAGCATATTGTTATAATTGTTCTACATTATTATTGCTGTCAGTCTCTTACTATGCCTAATTTATAAATCAAACTGTATCATAGGTATGTATGTATAGGAAAAAATATAGTATTTATGGGGTCTGGTACTATCTATGGTTTTGGACATCCACTGGGGGTCTTGAAGCATATCCCCTGCAGTTAAAGGGGGACTACTATAAATAATAATGTACAATCTGATGAAGGAATCAAATCACCATACTTGACTGAAAAGGAAAAATTCTCCCCTCTCCATAATCCCCAGTCCAGGTCTGTTGCCTCAGAGAAGCTTGAAGTTGGGCAAAGGAGTCTGGTTGGCTTCTTTTCCCATTTTGAGCTTCTGGCCAAGGTTGCTTGGCCTTCTAGGAAGGAGCCGAGGTGCAGCTTGGTGTAGAGGTGGAGGAAGGAGATGTAGGAAGGGTAGGAAAGGCTGTACAGTCTGATCTTATTGTAAGTGGCTTCATGCTATTTGGACGGCCACCTCTCTGTCCCTTGATGCCTTCCTATGTTCTTGGTTAGTAGCTTACTTTGTCCTCAGCATGTGAATGCCTCTGGACCTCCAGCTTCTCTCTGCTGAGGGCTGTTTGCCCCTGCAGGTGACCTTCTTAGACAAGCCCTGACATGA